CCCAAGGTACCACGGAGGCCTCAGCAAATGGGACCCGGGAGCTGAGCTAAGCAACCCCCCCCGGACGAGCGCCCCCCCCCCAGGCTGCCCCTGCCACCTGCACCCGGGCTGGGGGGCGGGGCTGATCAAAGAGACCGACCCCCCCCCCAGCACAGAGCGACTCACCTGGGGGGAAGGGGCGGTTCTGAACCTGACCAAAGGGCAACCAGGGAACCCTTTGGCGTGACGTCAGCAGGAAGGGGGCGGGGCGACGCGACATCTTGAGTGTGGCGGAAGCGAGCGAGATTAACCCCTTGGTGTCCCCCTGGCTCAGCAGCGAGGCCGCAGCGGGCGGCAGGCCGGGCACATATTGCCTGTAACAGACCGCATCATGCGAGCTCGCACGTGCCGCACTGGACACTCCGGTGCATGCTGCAGGCAACCCCTGTGTGGCGCCACTTCTGCCTGCAGCTACACGTGGGTGAATCATCTGCACGCCCGCCACAGGCGCATGCCGGCCACATTGGTCTGCAAAAACTGCATGCATGCAACCTCAGGGTGCACGCAACGCCCACGTGCAGCATTGGCCTACACAAACAGGGGAGAAAGCATGCATGCAACAGGTGCATGATGGCCACCTCGGCCTGCAGCACCCCTGGGTGCATGCAGCGTTTGCACGCAGACTCGGGGGAGAGGGGTTGTGCATGTAACTGCCTGCTTGCACAGGCCGCTTGCCTCATTAAGATGCACACTACATTTGTTTGCAACATCTGCATGCAGCATCTCCGGGCTGCCAACTGTTCCTGCAACAACTGGATCCTTCTGCGGCTGCGCCGGGGGTGGGGCGATTTGGGGGTTAAAAAAACAGTGGGAGAAATTATCAAAGGGGAGGGGGGAAGAGGGAGGGAGCGGCACCCCGCCTTTCACGGGGGGGGGGCGTGGTTGATTTACCCCTCCGTGATTGGCCACCGAGAGGAGGCGTGCGAAGGAGCTTGAGCAACACGAAAAATGATACAGCCACGTGTGGGGCGGGGGGGGAGGAGCACGTGGTGCAGAAACAGCCCCGCCCCCGCTTCCGACGTGAACCGCAGGCAGATAAAGTGTATTGGGGGGATCAAGAGTAAATGTCTCTCCAAGCTCCGCCCCCCAGAGCAGGTGGGGGCTGTGATTGGCTGGAGAGGCGGACACCCCCCCCCACCCCACCAGCTGCAGAGTCTAGCCTGGGGCATCTGGACCACTGGGACCCTGCGTCCAACGGGTGGGGGCCCATTGATGCTTCTAACCCTCGCCCCCTCCCCAGGCTCTGAAAGCCCCCCCCCACTCCTACAGGGAGAGCAGGGGTCACACACACACACACACACACACACACACAGAGAGCCTGGACAACCCCTCTCCCCCAGCTCTACTGGTGCCCCTCACTCCCGACCCGCAGCCCCTGCCAGCCCAGCCCTGGGCTCCCCCCACCCCGGACATCTGTGAGAAGGCACCTTGAGGAAGGGACCTGGGAGTTAGAGGAGGGGAGCGGGGTCTAGTGATTACACCGGGGAGGGGGGGGCTGAGTGTCCTGGACTCCTGGGTTCCCACCTTTGTCACTGACTCACTGGGTGACCTTGGGCAAGTGACTTGCCCACTCTGTGCCTCAGTTTCCCCAGGGAGATGATACCAATCTCTCTCCTGGGAGCGCAGGGAAGGCATTTGGCAGTGGAAGCCCCCAGTGGGAGGGGAGCGACCCTGGGTCTCTGCCCCTGAGCACGGGGGCAAGGGGGCGTTTCTCAGAAAAACCCTTGCGGTTGGAATGTGGAAAGAGCACAGGCCCCACTTCCCCAAATTGCTGGGGGCGGGGGGGCGGGGAGGATGGGCAGACGACGCAAACAGCCTGATAAGGGAGGTGAAAAGGTCCCCGTGACATGATGCCACCAGCCTGGGAGGTCACGGCCCGGGCAGGTCGTGCCCTAAACCAGCCCAACTCTCTCCTTGTTTATTTACTCTCTGTGAAATGGGCACATCTGCAACCAGCCCCATTGTACCAGGCTCTGCACAGACCCTGACTGAGATCGGGGCCCCCTTGTGCCGGGCACAGACACAGAATGAGCGACAGTCCTTGCCCCAAAGAGCTCACAGGCTAAATATACAGAAGGTGGGAGGGGAAACTGAGGCACCGTTGGGGGGAAGGGACTGGCTCAGCATCATGAAGCACATCAGGGGCAGAGCTGGGAATAGAACCCAGGTGTCCCAGTCTAGGCTGAAGCCTGGCCGCTAGGCCAAGCCGCCACCCTGCCAATCTTCCCACCCACTTTTTAAAAGACCCTTTAACTCTTTCTTGCACAGAATTTCTAAAGCCAGCAGAATCCAGTTTGCCTGCTCAGAGGCCCATGCGAAGGGTTGCCCCTTCCCTCAGAGAGGGGGGGCTTTGAGAGGGGGGGTCCAGCTGAGCTCTAATGCAGAGAGGTACAGGGAGGCGGGAGCTGCATGCAGTGGAGAAGGCTCTTGAACCCAGAGATGCTGCCTGAGTCAGATGAGAGCCTAAGCCCTGAGCCTCAGCAGGGGGAACTGCGCTGTGGCAACTCAGTGAGGTGTTGACTCTGAGCCCCACAGCTCTGGTGGCCCCTGCTTGGCATAGGAGGGGAGAGGCAAGGGATTGTCTCCCAAGCAGACACAGCCTGGCTGCATAGGGAAGTATGGGGGACCCCACTACTGCCACCAATATCTCTCTGGGAGTGGGGGTGAGGTCGGAGGGGAGCTGGGTCCCTATGAGGCACGGGGAGATCTGTTGGGGGGCTGTATGGGGGGGAGCTCTCCCTGTCACACCACCCCTCACGGTGGGGGCATCCCAAAGGCAAAAGGCCAGAGGCAGTGCCGGCCCCGAGGGCCTGGCACCTCCCGCCTGCCGCGTGGTCTGTGCTTGGCAGGGGTCATGCCCTGGGCGGGGGTGCGGCTGTCACATGGCTCGTTGCGGCAGCAGGGACATGGGCCAGAGGAGCCACAACCGGCCGGATTTGGGGAAAGAATCACTTCCCCTTTTCTACCCGCCTGGCCCCTGGCAGGGCCTGTGTGTGCAGGGGGCACAGCCCTGCCGGTGCCCCTCACTCCCGACCCGCAGCCCCCTGCCTCTGCCGGTGCCCCTCACTCCCGACCCGCAGCCCCCAGCCCTGCCGGTGCCCCTCACTCCCGACCCGCAGCCCCCAGCTCTGCCGGTGCCCCTCACTCCCGACCCGCAGCCCCCTGCTCTGCCGGTGCCCCTCACTCTGGACTCGCAGCCCCCTGTTATCCCCCCCCAGGCTCCCCCGCTCAGATCTGCCACTGTCCCTCAGTCCCAATATGCAGCCCCCTGCTAGCCCAGAACAGGGGACTGGGAGTCAGGACTCCTGGGTTCTATTCCTGGCTCTGTCCTGACTTGCTGGGAGAGCTCAGGTTCGGTTTCCCGCTCTGCATCATGGGGATAAGGATCCCGACCCTTTCCCCAGCGTGGGATCGGGGTCGGGTGGGTGTGAGGCAGGTCCCTGGCGGCCCCTCGAGCGCTCAGAGCTCCTGGCAGGGCTCTGATCTCACAGCCCCCCTTCCCCTCCCCCCCGTGCTAATCAGGGCTCACACATGGCCTGGTGCGACTGGAGCTGCAGATTAGCGCCCAGCAGCCCCTAACGGCCATCAGCCCCAGGACCTGGGGGAGCTGCTGGGGGGTGTCAGAGCAGCTAAGGGGGGGGAACCTGATCCCAGCTCCCCACCTCTGTGCAGCCATTGCCCTGGGGCTGGGATCCCCCCCAGACCCCTTGGGAGGCTGCAGGCGCCGTGGCGGGGGGTTAGAACCGACTGGGCTGAGGCCTAGCGAGCTCGTCTCATGCAGGTGTCAGGTCGTGGCTGCTGGGCTGGGAGGGAGCGAGGGAAACACTCATCTGCCCCCTTCTCTGTGCCCAGTGGGGCAGGGGGAGAGATGCAATGGCTTCTGGGATCAGGGGTGAGAGTGAGGCTGGGGGTAGGCAGAGGGGACCCCCGGGGGGGCTCCCCACTGAGGTGGGAATCGGGTATGTTGTTCCCCCCAGCGCCTGGCCGGTCAAAACCCATCGCCAAACTCCCAGAGGCCAAGGCGCCCCCGGACTCAGACCCAGGATTTGGGGACGTGAAGCTGACCCAATCCCTCCCCCGCTCGGTTATTCCAGCCCTGGGCCCCATCCCAGCTCTTTGGTGCCCCTCAGTCCCGACCTGCAGCCCCGTTCTAGCCCTGCCTTCGCTCCCCTGCCCACCGGGGACTGATCCCCCATGTCTCAGCTGGAAAGTTCCCCGCTGCTGGAGCAGATCCGGGGGGTTTATCTCCAGCTTTGTCCCGGTATCAGAGCTGGGGCAGGCGGCTGGGCCGCGCTGGGGCAGGCCGATAAAGCCCAGGTGGATGGTGATCTACGTCCGCGCGCTTCCCCGAAAGCAGTGGGCCGGGTTTGGGGAAAGGGGGGTTGTCTCTGCAGGGAAGGCCCGACTTGGGGGGTCGGGGGGGGGCAATGGGAGCCAGGGGGAGACGGAGCCACCAGGGAATAGGAGAGAAAATAGCTGCTTCAGTCAGTCAGGATCAGAACCCAGGAGTCCTGGCTCCCTGCCCCCCTGCTCTAACCACTAGACACCACTTCCCCCCAGAGCCGGGGAGAGAACCCAGGAGTCCTGGCTCCCTGCCCCCCTGCTGTAACTACTAGACACCACTCCCCCCCAGAGCTGGAGAGAGAACCCAGGAGTCCTGGCGCCCTGCCCCCCCCTGCTCTAACCACTAGACCCCACTCCCCTCCCAGAGCTGGGGAGAGAACCCAGGAGTCCTGGCTCCCAGCCCCCCTGCTCTAACCACTAGACCCCACTCCCCTCCCAGAGCTGGGGAGAGAACCCAGGAGTCCTGGCTCCCAGCCCCCCTGCTCTAACCACTAGACTGTACTCCCTTGGTTGGGGTCAGGAGGGTGGGGTTCCCTGAATCTTGTTTTATTTCTCAGGAAATTCTCAGCATTTCTGGTTCCTTGTTTCCTTTGATGAAATTCGAAAGGGGCTGAGGCCGGAAGAGAGAAAATAGTGCGGTATAAAAATCCAGGACAGGCAGGGTTAGGGGGACAGAGAGTGACGGGACTCCTGGTTCTCTCCTCAACTCTGGGAGGGGAGTGGGGTCTAGTGGTTAGAGCAGGGGGCTGGGAGCCCGGACTCCTGGGTTCTCTCCCCGGCTCTACTGCGTGACCTGTTCTGGGCCTGGTTTCACCCACTAGAACCTGTCTGGGGGCATGACAATGATTTGTATTTAGGTGGCACCTTCCATCCCCCGACCTCCTGTGATTCATAAACCCTCCTTCCCGCCTGGAGGCCCCGGCCCGGTGCTGTGGTGGGGGAGGCCCCTCGCCTCCGACCAGTCAACCACGAACCTTCCACGCTGCTCTGGTCGCTGCGCCTGTAGCAGTACCCCCATTTCACAGGGGGTGAAACTGAGGCACGAAGGCGGGGCGTGTGTGTGTGATTTGGCCAAAGTCACCCAGCAGGTGAGTGGCGGGAATAGTATGTACGAACTCTGACTCCCAGCCCCCTGCTCTGACCACTAGACCCCACTCCCCTCCCAGAGCTGGGGACAGAACCCAGGAGTCCTGGCTCCCAGCCCCCTCTGCTCTAACCA